TAATCTATTCCACTGATCCACCACTCTATTTCTTAGCCAGTACCAAGATAGTTCTGATGATTACTGCTTTATAATATAGTTTGAGATCTGGTACTGCTAGGCCACCTTCCTTTGTATTTTTTTTTTTTCATCAATTCCCTTGATATTCTTGACCTTTTGTTCTTTCAGATGAATTGTTATTTTTTTCTAGCTCTGTCAAATAATTTAAGGGGAGTTTGGAATGGCACTGAATAAATAAATTAGTTTAGGCAGAATTGTCATTTTTATAATATTGGCTCAGCCTACCCATGAGCAATTTGTATTTTTCCAGTTGTTTAGATTTGACATTATTTGTGTGAAAATTGTTTTGTAATTGTGTTCATATAGTTCCTGGGTTTGTCTTGGCAGGTAGACTCCCAAGTATTTTATATTGTTTACAGTTATTTTAAATGGAATTTCTCTATCTCTTGCTTCTCAGTTTTGTTAGTGATAGAAAGAAATGCTGATGATTTATGTGGATTTATCTTTTATCCTGCAAATTTACTAAAGTTATTAATTACTTCAAGTAGTTTTTTAGTTGATTCTCTAGGGTTCTCTATGTATACCATCATATCATATACAAAAAGAGATAGTTTTGTTTCCTCACTGCCTATTCTAATTCTTTGATTTCTTTTTCTCCTCTTATTGCTACAGCTAACATTTCTAGTATTACAATGAATAACAATGGTGACAATGGACATCCTTGCTTCACCCCTGATCTTAGATCTTACTAGGAAAGCTTCTAGCTTATGCCCATTACAGATAATATATATCATTTTAAGGAATGCATCTTTTATTCCTATGCTCTCTAGTGCTTTTAAATAGGAATGGGTGCTGGATGACTTCTGTCGGTTTTGTTATTGATATAGATAATTATGTTGATTGTTTTCCTAATAGTGAACCAACCCTGCACTCCTGACATAAATCCTACCTGGTCATGGTGTATAATCCTTGTGATATATTGATGTAATCACCTTGCTAGTATTTTATTCAAAATTTTTGCATATCCTTTGATATAGCAGTACCATTACTAGGTCTGCACCCCAAAGAGATCATAAAAAGGGGGAAAGGATCTAGAAGTACAAAAAATACTTATAGCAGCCCTTTTTGTGGTGGCAAAATGTTGAAAATTGAGGGGATGTCCATCAATTAGAGAATGGCTGAACAAGTTGTGGTATATGAATGTAATGGAATACTACTGTGCAATAAGAAATGATGAGCAGTCAGGTTTCAGAAAAACTTGGAAAGGTGATATGAATTGATGCAAAGTGAAATGAGCAGAACCAGGAAAACATTGTACACAGTTATCAGCAACACTGTATGATGATCAGTTATGAATGACTTAATTCTTCTCAGCGACACAATGATCCAAGACAAGTACAAAGGACCCATGATGGAAAATGGTATCCACATCCAAATAAGTAACTGATAGACTCTGAATGTAGATAGAAGCATACTTTTTTACTTATTTTATTGTTTTCATGTTTTTTTCCCTTTTGATCTGCTTCTTCTTTCACAACTATGACTAACATGGAAATACGTTTTACATAATAGCACATATATAACCTATATCAAATTGCCTATCACTTTAGGAAGAGGGGAGGGAGAAAAACCTGGAACTCAAAATCTTATAAAAATGAAAAATTGTCATGACGTACAATTGGGAAAAAAAACACAATAAAGAAAAAAGAAAGAAAAGAAAAAAGTTTTTAAAAAAAGAAATATAAGAGACAATGAATTGAGAAATGGCTAAACAAATCATAGTAATTGATGCAACGAAACATTACTGTACCATCAGTGTGACATACATGAAAATATTAGGAAGCATATGAATTGACAGAGAGAAGTAACCAGATCATGGAAAACAATATAAATAATATTAGTAGTATATCTTATCTCCACCAGTCTTTGCTTACACTTAATTCCCCTCCATATGCCCCACAATAGGTGACACTGATCTCTTTGATGTTCCTTCTAACAAAGCACTCCTCTGGATTCCATGCATTTTCACTGGCTGTCCTTTGTGCCTGGAATTCTCCCCTTCCTTGTCTCAACCTCCTAGTTTCTTTCCAGGTTCAGCTAAAATTCCACTATCAACAAGAAGCCTTTGCTGGTCCCCCTAAATGCTAGTGCCGTCCATTTTGAGATTATCTCCCCAATTATCCTGCATATCTTGTTTTAAGCTAAAGTTTAAAACTACACTATGACTCCACTCTGTGTATCTTGTTTGTGCCTAGCTTTCTGCATGTTGTCTCCCTCATTAGATTGTAAGCTCCTTGAGGACAGGGGCTATTTTTAACTTTCTTTGTACAGTACATAGCACAGTGCCTGGCACATAGTAAGAGCTAAATAAATGCTTGTTGACTTGGAAAGAACAAAAAATTCCAAACAAAATGCTGAGGCAATCCTAATAATTAATCTCAGCCTCTTCTTCCCTCTAACAGGAATTCTGGAGGGCAGAGCACTAAACTCCACCCAAAGCCTTCCTTTATCTACACCTCTGCTTGGTCTCAGTTACATAGAACAAAATGCTCACCCATCCCCACCCCCTTGCCAGATGTACTTTCTGCGCCCAGGCTAGTCAATCCTTTGTTCCTGCTTCTGACTCTGTACTTGTCCACCACGGAGTACCTTCCCTCTGGATCTACCCCCACTCCCTGTAGCTCTCTTTTATATGTTGTCTTCCTCAAAGAGAATATATTTGTAGCCTCAGTGCTTAGCACAAAGCTGGGCACATAGTGAGTGCTCAGTCGGCATCTCCTCCAACTCCGACCTCCTGCTCCAATGGGCAAGTTCCTCCTCAGAACCTCTATTTCAGGAGTACTCATACCAGCCATGATTACTTCTGATACCAGCTAAACCCTCATTCTATTGACTACTTGTCAGTCTCATTCCTGTGCCACCCTCCCATTTTCCAGCCCCCTTTCACATGTTGTCTTCCCCCATCATAAAATAATGTAATTTCCTTGAAGGCAAATTGTCTTTCTTTTTGTATATATTGCTGTTCAGCACAGTGCCTGAACACATAGCAACTCTAAGTTTCAGAACACACTCAAAACCACACTGGCATTTCTTAAGTGTTCCAACTCCTTGTTTTTTAAAAAGGGGCTCATACGCTAAGACGAGTATGCCAAACACAGGCATCACTTCATACTTTTACACAAAAGAGAAGGAATTCTTTGTTTGGATTGTTATTCCTATATACTATTACTGCTAACTATCAGAATCCCTAGGTAGTGAATAGACAAAAACATAACAGGCACATTACAACCAAGCATACAGTAAACTTCCTGGTTTATCAAACTAAGTTACCACCTAACTCCATTGCAAACTTTCTTCTCTTTAATGACTTTAAACTTTTTCTTCTCCCAATAAAATGGATATCCATCCAGATACATTCTGATTTTAATTGATATCATACAGATTTAAAACATCTTTTTTAAAAATTATGAAGAGTCTGTTGGCTTCTGTCTCTCCCCATTTGTCACAATATTAATATGGATTGTAAATGTGTTTTAAATCTCCCATATTCTGAATCTTCTTCTCTATGAAGTTCACAAAAATAAAGAAATATACCATCAAATGAATAGGATATCAAATTTTAGCTACATAACATATTTTTCATTTGGAAAAAGTATTAAATGACAGACTTTGAAAACAAAAGAAATTATATGAGACTTTTAAAGGAAACAACTACTTATTTCATTCATTTTTCATGCATACTTTTCAGCAGTATTCCATTTTTGCTTTGTTATGCTCATAAAACCTTTCTCCCAAAATATTATCTTAAAATCAGTTTGCACTGGTTCTTTAAATAAAAGGAGAATAAAAAAATGCTCCCAGATATGGATTTTTATCTTCCTCTGGAGGAATACCAGATGATCTCCATTTAAGGACACATAAAATAGCGGCTGCAGATTTTAGAGGCTACTTCATTTGCTTATGCAGAACTGATGTCAATGCACATTAAAATATAGAGTAAATGAATCATGGTTTTTTTTTAATTTTATAGTTATACACTGAACACAAGCAGAAATAAACAAGAAATGCTTAAAACAATAAATTACTTTAAAAAAAGATTCTGGAATGCTTTTGCATCTTACAAATATTAAACTTAAGCTTTTATTTCTGAAAGCAGAAATAAAAAAATGTTTCAAGCAAATAATTACGTAGAAGAGATATATACACATAAAAAACACACATATATTAGTTAGTAATTACTTTTTTAACTGTTTTAATAAACCTGAATTTAAATGTATGTAGTTATCCATATTAAGCATATATTTATAGATCCCTCCATATATGTAAGTAAATTAGAGAAAGGCACAACCTTTGGGATCCAGCCTAAACGTAGCTGAAATAAGAACTAATCCAGCAGAGATGCAGCATTTGTATGTGAACTTCTTGGTGAAACCAATGCTATACAGAAACATGCTAAATCTGTGACTACTCTCCCCAGATACCAAGGTAGAACAGGGGTGTTATAAGCAATGGCTTGTGTTTTTGTTCTTGATTAACTTTCAAACAAATGTCCTTTTACAAAAGCTTTTAAAAAAGCATTAATGATTACTACTAAATGTATATGTGTGCATTTGTGTGTGCACACGTGCATGTGAACATCTGCTAAGGGTATATCAACTTTACAATATACAAAAATATCTCTAAGCCTAAGGGGGATGGGGGGAATCCTTTAAAAGCTTTCTGAACAAAAACAAAACAAAATATCAAGAGCAAATAAGGCACTCTCTTTTATCCAAGAACCAGCCTTACAGTTGACCACTTGCTTTTTTTCAGTAAATAAATATCAAATGCTGATGACCTTTACATTTCTAAAATAATATTAATCACAGTTCCAGTGAGTTTGGTTGGATAATCTCAGTGTTGGGGTATATGATAACCAATCACAACTTCCCAATTACTATATGACATCATGGGTCCTCCCCCTGAAACTTCTGAGTTTTTTCTTTCTCCACTGACTTCAACTGTTTCCACAAACGTGGTGACACTCAAAAAAAGTTACCAGCAAAACACCAGGACTCCAGACAACTAAGAACACACTGTCTATATGTTCGTAATTATCTGAGCAGCCAAGGTAAGAGACTTTTTTTTAAAAAACTATCTTTGGTAACTCTTTAATTCACTACTTAGATTTTAGTCTTTTTTATATATGTTGAAACAAACCACAATGATGTTTTCGAATGATTTGTGCACTTTAATCATTTTAGTTCCGAGCCAGTCAACATCATGTAAAAATCTAATTAAAAAGTTTACTTCTAAGTAAAAACACTTTCCCTGGAACACATTAATGCATACATCTCAGAAAAGTATTTTTTCCATCTTTGAGAGGGGTAACTCCTTTAAATACACACACACACACACACACACACACACACACACACACTTCAAGGTCAAAAAGTCTGCAGGACTAATTAACATACCTTTAACAGAAATTCATTTTTTAAATATCAAATGTGAATTTATATTCATTTTAGCATCTTTCATAACACTGCTATTATATGCCTCCTCCTTCCTACCTCCTATTGATTATTTTTAACTGAAAAAATTAAGTTAAGAGGTAGCACCAGGATGATTTTTACTTGGATCTTATAAAACTGCAAACATTCATGTGACTGTAAAACAGACAAGATTTATTTGGTTGTTTCAGTGATAGTTACAACTCTATACTGAAATTAACAAACTGAACAGTGTATAAGCCATAAACTTTTGAAAACAAGGCTTGTTTTTTTTTCTTCTCAAAAGAAAATTTTTTTTTTAAAAAGAAGCACTTCTACATGACCTAACATCATGTTTAAAATCATGATCTAAGCTAAACTGAATACCAAGCATTAAGAGCTACTTGGTGATCCTCAAAATATTTATCAAACATAGGGCAAAACAGTCTTTACTAATTACATAACAACCACTTGCCTTTAATAATGTAGAGTGCTTTCTGTTAGAATGAAAATTTTGTTTTTTCCCTTCTATGTTCTTGTTTTCACTTGGAGTAAAATATGGTTCTAAGACATAATTTTACCTACATGCCCTAGGATTTTATTTGAAGCTTCAAGCATTACTGATTTTTTTTTTGGGGGGGGGGGTGACCTTGTCTTCACTAGAACAGGTATTTTTAATCTCTTTTGTGTCACAGAACCCATTAACAATCTGTAGAGGCCTATGGATTCCTCAGAATAATGTTCTTAAATGTGCAAAAATTAAATACAAAGGACTATAAAGGAGACAGTTACTTTGAAACAAATTTATCAAAATATTAAAAATCAGGTTCAGAGGCCCCAGGTTAATAACCCCCGATTTAGAAAAAGAGCACAAATTCCAACCAAAAGTCCCTTTCCATCTCTAATGTGCCATTTTCCCCCTTTTATATTTTACCTTAGTTTGTAGAGCTGCCTGTGCAATTAAGAAAATTTTAGGAAGCATTAACTATGGACCAGATAATCTTTAAGAATGAATATGAACTTTGGAGTCAAAGGACTGGGGTTGAAATGATTACTCTGTTACTTACTTATGTACACTAGCAAGCCACTTAACTTCCAAGGCTCAGTTTCCTCATCTCCAAAATGAAAGAGTTGGGAGACCCCTTCGAGCTCTAAATTGATGATCTAATGTGTCACTTATTTACATAATGATTTTTATATTAGGTTTCAACTGGAGGATGACAGGAGAATGCAGGGGTTACCTGAATAAGAAACCCAGTAGATGTACCTTAAAGAGAGAGGAAACAAAAAAGGCCTAGAAAGGAGATGCTGAGAGATCCCAAAAAAATTAAAGTTCCCAAACACAGCAGTTCATCATTATGCCTTGATTCAGCTGAGTTCAATTAATTCAGTCCCACAAACATTAAGCACTTATATGCAAAGCACACTGCTAAGAGCTAGGGAAGAGAGTTTAATTTCACTAATGCCATAGAGGGCCCTGCATTTTGGAAAGGGTTCCAATTTAAGCAATGTAGGTTTCTCACATCAATTTCCTCTTGCTAAGCACTTACTGAAATGATTTGACAATGATATCTCCATCATCAGACACATAGTGAGTATTCAAATTCTTTCCCTACATTGGCACTTCACAGCACAATATAAACAGAGTATCACCTATGGGGCTGAAAAATATAATAAAATTCTATTATAAAACTAGTTTATCACAGAATAGGCTTCATTATATTTTGAGTCAAATCACGTCCCTTTAGTAGGACAAACTGCAAGGGAGCATGACAACATGGGTAAAGGCCCATCTGTAAGTCAGAAGAACTCCTGGAATTCCTGTCCTTCCTCTGATAAACACTAGCTGTGTGACCATGGAATGTCACCCTCCGTCTGCATCAGTTCCCTCATCTATAAAAAGAGGATATTAATAGCACATACCTTCCAGGGTTGTTGTGAAAATAAAATAAGATTTGTAAAGTGCTTTACAAATCTTAAAGCACTATATAATTGCTGGCTATTTTGTTACTTTTATTCCCTTGCCAGGTGGATTATCAAAGATCCATGCCACCACCACTACTACAGATCACCTCATTTTGTTCTTTACCCCTTCCCATTAAAGTGTGCACGGAGCCTATTAAGTTTCAGAAAATTATGACATGTTTACTGATATTAATTACTTTTAAATCTCACTGTTGCTACTTTAAAGGGAGAAACTAAAGGTCATTTGCTAATTCTTGATGTAAATACATAAATAACATTTTTAAATTTGGCATGTACTGATGCAGGACTTTGTAAAAACAAAAGTAATAAAACCGTTAAACAGAAGGAATTAAATCTTCTAAGATACTGACATCAGCCGAAGCTCTGAAGAGAAATCAGGGTTTTCAATTTGTACAATTTCACTAATTAATTAAAATTCATTTCAAATGACTTAAATTTCAATTTATTAAATTTTAAATTTGAAACTTAAATTTATACAGAGTATTATTTTCTTAATGGACAAAATGTTCAATGTCTAGCACCATAGGATACAGCAATGTGATTGCTTTCCTGAATCACATTGCTTTCCTGAGATCACCTACTCCCCTGAAGATGTTACTTTGAAAGCTGCATTTTTTCAATGAACAAATATAAACGTGCATATGATCCCTCATGAATGTAATACTCTATTGCCTCAACTCCAACTCTGAGCTTCCCTAGCTCCCTTAGACTCAGCTCAGATCCTATCATCTGCTGGAGGTCCCTTCCAGACACAAGTACCTTCCTCTCTGAGAACAATACCTTTCATATACTTTGTATAGATATTGTGTGTACCGTTATTTACATGTCACCTCATCAGAATGTAAATTCCATGAGGGCAAAGGCAGAGTTTTTACCTTTTTTTGTATCATCAGTTCCTACCTAGCACAGTGCCTCCCACACAGTAAATCCTTAATATGTTCTTGTAAACTGGCTAGCTAATCTTAAATAGGTACTCATTGCTCATTTCTCAGGATTCAAAAGGCTAAGTTTGAGAGGGGTAGGGGGGAGAGGTGGTATTGGAGAGTGCAGTGGTGTTGGCTGCTAGACTTTTTTGGTCCTTCATGCATTGACAAGTTAAAAAATTTGAGTAACCTCTTTCTTAACCCTCTTCAAGCTACCTTTTTCCCAGTCACCCTTGATTTCACTGTGAGATCTGGTGACATGAGAATTCTCTGTGCAATTTCTCTACAACTCTTATTGTACTGAATTAATCAATTTTTCCTGAAATATCAATCAGACACATGTTTGACCAGAGGTGATCAGAAGTGCCACGAAGCAGATGTGTTCTTGAAGGGAAAGTATATTCAATTAGCTACAGTATCATAGCTAAATCCCCAGGCCATATACATGGCCTTTTTGGCCATGGACAGAAAAGCAACACTAATACCCTCCTCTCTTCTTTTTCAACTATTATTTGTTTGCAGTACAAAAAAATAATAATAATTAATTCAAATATTAAAAATTAAGACGAGACAAAAAGAAAATTTATGCAGCAGTCTGAGGGCCTCTAGTGGTCATGTATGCTACCATCCAAACTTCAACAGTTAAAAAAAAAAAAGTAAGGAATCCCTCTTCTTTATCTCCACATTTAGGAAAGGAGAAGGAAAGAGGACAAGGGGGAAGGCCTAATGGAAAGAGAGACAGAGAGAGGGCAAGGGGAACAGAGAGGGGGATGGAGAATGGGAGAGAAAGAGAGATCTTAAAGCTCACACAAGGTGAGTTCTGCTTCCCTTAAGTTAGAAAAGATATTTAGAATTTATTCATATGAAAAGGAGCAATTAAAGTTCAATTAAGACTGAGGGTAACTACAATGGCATACCTTTTTTCCATCTGTTTTCAATAGCTACTAGGACAAAAACACATACAGCAAGGTCAACAGAAAATATGAAGCAATAAAAGATCAACAAATGGAAGGGAAATGTGTGTTAAGTGTTGCTTTCCTAACTAATAGATTAGCTAGCTACAGTTTTAAAGTCTAGAGGAGTCAGCTCCTTTAAAGGGCCAATTCAATTGAGGGTAAAACTTTATGCTTCAAAAGATTTCATTCCAAATAAATGAATGAATGAAAAAAAATTAAACATTGTGCTAAGAGATCAGGATACAGAAAGAAAAGCTCCAGAGTCTCTCCCTGCCATCTATGAGCTCACACTCTAATAGAGGAGACAACACAAAAGACAAGTAAGCTTTTAAAGAGGGGCTGGTGGCAAGGCCCAGAGGTCCTTAGTTTACTGAGGAATTTAAGATGCTGGTGAGGCAGTTTGCAGGGCTTTAAGGCAGGACAGATGGTAAACCTTGCTCATCTCTAGAGGCAGCGTAAGGCCATGTGTTAAGGTCTGATTATCACCAAATAGGTAATATTACAGAAATTACAAAAGAACTTCTTGAAGATATGGTTTAGATTCGTAAATCTCTAAAATGCTGCTCCTCCATGGCAGCCTTAATTAAGTCTTCAGTAGTCTCACATTCAAAAAGATTGAAAATCAAGTGAATCAGCCAAAACTGCCTTCTGGATACGACAAGAGTAATGATATGATAGACTGTAGATGACTCTTATGGTGAATTCCCTTAATATCAATTTGCCCAAAAGCAGTGCAAGGATAATCAATTCTATAAAGTTGTTAGTAATCAAACA